AGGAGGACAACCTAAGACAGGGACAGCTGGCTGGAGAAAAGATGGCCTACTCAGTGTGTGCAGTGTGGACTTGGAATTGGAGGGAGAAGGCATCACTCGGTCCTTGAGGCTGTATGAAGTGGCCTTATAAGCTAAGTGAATGAATGACAAAGGAGAGAGAGAGAGGAAGAGAAAAGAAGGAAGGAGGGATGGGAGTGAGGGGAAGGAGGAAGATGTGCTTAAACTCATGAGTCTGAAGTCTGAGGTGGCTTGAGTGTTCAAAGCGGGCCACATTAACTTGGGCATTTAGGACAACAAGACAGAAATCACACCACAGGGCAGAGGCTGGCTTGGTGGGCAGTGACGGGCAGCCATACCTGTGTTGGTATTAAATGCTTCCTTACGATTGGCTTCTCTGTTGGAGGGGGGAGACCCAGCGAACAAGTGCTATTCCTCCTTTGCTGCTCCCTCCCCGCGGGACCAGTCCTGCACTGTTTTGCTTTTTCTTCTTTCTTTTTTCCTTTTCTCCTACCAGGTTTTTGGCATCTTTGTCTTTCGAAGAGGGCGATGTTCTGTCGGAGTTCGACAGGTGCTCTGATTGTCTCAATGGGTCCATAGATGTGAGTTTTGGTGTATCTGTGGGAGAGGGTGAGCTACAAGCGTCCTTCTGCTCCACCATCTTGCTTCTCAGGTGGCTGACTCCTGTGCCTCCTGTTAGTCAGTTACTGGTGGGGGTCACCCTCTTGGCCCCAGGACAGGTTGTAACCTCCCAGGCTTTTTGCGGGGTCTCCTGTCACTGGAGGGCAGTTCTCCAGGGAGGGGTGTCACCAAGAGCACTTAGCAGCCAAACTAAGAGCAGCTGTAGCAGCGTCCACTGGAGGAGAGAAGGAGCACCCCCACCACTTCCTCCCAGCCCTGTGTCACAAAGGCTGAGAAGGAGAATGGCCATAGGAACAAGGATCAGGGGTCATATTGGAGAACGGGATTTGGCAGAAGGGAGGAAATGTGCAGAGATGGTCAGGCTTTTCTGATGCAGCCCTGCAAGTTGCAGAGTCTGGGGAGGAGGAGGACTGGTGCAGGACCTGGCAGGTGTGTGCAAGTGAGCGTCCACCTGTTGAAGGGTCTGGGAAGTCTTGGGCTTCTCTTGGTGACCAGATCTCACACCTCACTCCTTAAAATTTGTTTTCATAAACAGAGATGAAAAAAGCCAGAAAAAGCCCAGAAAAATGGATCAGAGCCTAATCCGTGATGCTGAATATGATCATCTGCTCAGGGTTCTTGAGAAGAACTTGGAGATTCCTCAGGACTGTACCTATGCTGACCAGAAGGCAATAGACACTGAGGTCAGCCTGTGGGATGGAGGGAAATCATTTCACACCCCTGCCCTTGCGTCCCTGCTGCGGGTGGAGTGGAGTGCTCTAGCTCAGGGCGTCCTTTCCAGAGCAGAGATTTCTGTGCGTGACCTGCTGGCTGTGCCTGACCCCTCGGGTCACTGAGTGGGTCTGAAGGAAGGGGCAGGATGGAGGTTATGGACGATTTTCTGCTTATTAACAGTGAAACTGGAAGTGGCTGCGCTTCCGTTATTTCTTTCTGTGATGCTGTTTTTCTCAGCCTCAAGTCCAGACTCCTTCCTGTGTCACCTGCCTCACCTGAGAATTTAAGCACATGTGGTCCAGTACATTTCAAATACCATACACAGAATTTCTCATGAACAGACTTTATGTAAAAGACACTGAAACCTCTGAAAGTGGGGTGCCATTTCTTCCTTCGCACATGTTTTAACGCACATGACGCATGCCTTTGGTAATACAGATTAGTGGCAATAAAAGCAAGCCCAGCAATCAGAAGAAATCACGGCCCTTCTGGGTGAGCCTTTCTCACCTAATTTTTTTTTAATTGAAAAAAATTTTTTTGTATTTTCTAGGGGGGTAGGTAATTAGGTTATTTATTTATTTATTTAGAGGAGGTACTGGAGGTTGAACCCAGGGCCTCGTGCCTGCTGGGCATGTGCTGCACCACGGAGCTGTGCTCTCCCCCGCTGTCTTGCCTTTTACCTGTGACCACGCTCCCACCCCTGCGTGTGCGTTGTCGTGTTGTTCTTTGGGCACTTATGGTCTTCTGTTTAACAGCAGTGCTTTAGTCACTGTTTTCATAGATCGTTGGCATTGCGTTGTGTGGGTAATAGTACCATGGAAGTGTCTTGCTTTTGGATTTAAGATTTAGGGTGTTTTTTTTTCCTTTTCTCTCTCATAAGCGATGTTTGTCTTGGTACATAAAAGTCTGCACACAAGTGGATTTCCCTCTTCGGGCATGGCTATTTTTAAGGCTCTCTGTGACCATGAAAGGTTAGCTGCTCTGCCTTCTTGGAGAAACAAACCTCTCTTCCCCCTGGGAAGCTCGGCAGGCAGAGCCAACCTCCCCAGGCAGGAGCAGCACTGTTCACCCCTGAGCTGGGGTGAGGCAGCGCCAGTTCTGCTCAGAGTCTGGATCACTTCCTGTAGTTCCTGTCATTCTTTAAAGTTTTCTTTACATGGAGAGTCAGCTTCAGTCACCACAGTTAGCCAAATTATTGTGTAGGATGCCTGTTACTTTTATTTCAACACTTTTTATTCTGATTTAAATTAAAATTAGATACAAAATTATCAAAATCCCTAAAACTCTTGCTTCTTTTAGTCTTTGCAGACGGTGTTTGAACGAGTGAAATTCACAAGAAACTTGCAGAATTGAAGGCTTTGGCAGGAAGGGGGATTGGATATCACCACAGCTCTCTGAACGCCAAGGAAAAACGG